TTGACGAGGCCGACGCCGCCCCTATGCGAGCCACCACGCTTCCGCCCCCGCCCATCTTCGGTATTTGTCATTGGAGTGCAACCCGAATAATGCCTGCCGTACCCTGATTTGGCTCCCATGTTGGTACAGTGCATTTACCACGCGGTCCTTTTAGGGGCACCCTAACCCTAACATACACCCAATTGGAGCCATTATCTTGACCCTGACCCTAATTCTGTAGTTAGCATTAACCCTAGCCCAAAACTTAAGCCCAATCCTAACCTTAAAACTAACCCTACTTTGCCAGGAAGTTGACGCAAAGGCATCTGCACTGCGGACGCTTCCTGCACAAGTAATCCTTACGGAATACACACTGGTGAGAAAATTGATTTTTTGAGTTAGGAGAGCGTTCAACTGCCAAGTTAGAGAGATGTGCTCGTACAGGGGCATCCTTGGGACTAACAAAGACAATAGATATGTAGTGACCCTGTAGCGCCTTCTGCCTACCCCGTCACGCCAAACATGAGGTCACGTGATAACAGTCCTCGGCCTGCCTCTGGAGACAGCCGCATGCTCTGCGCGCAAGGCTTGCTTACCACGGCTGCTAGCATGTACACGCCTGTAGGCCGACCAAAATTTTTCTGGCCAATCACCTTCAAAAATGACTCACACATAGACTACTCTCTAGACGCATGTTACTAGTCCCACGTTCATATAATTCGGATGCTGTCCTGCTTGGGAGCAGATGCACGTTCGTCTGACAGTCAATCTCCTGCCTATTCTCCAAATCTTCTCTACAGAATACACTTACGGAATCGGGCTTGAAGATCGCAGCGGCAAGGGTTTTACCTATTAATGGAGTTTGGGTTGATCATTTCTGGTTCTTGGTTGGTTTCAATGGAGTCTGAGGTTGCAAGTTATGGCTTATTAACCTTTATCAGCTAGCAATACCTAACCATAAGTTTGCCCGACCTGCGATCCAACTCGAATTCTTCGGTCATTTAGTGCAACGTCCAATGCGCTATCACTGAACCACGGGGCCGGTCATGTATCTTTTC